AAGATGAGGACATTTCAGTACTTATGAAATGGAATAAACCTGCAACAAAAGGTAGGAAAGCAGCATCTCACACCCCTTCTAATGCAATAATCCAGCATGAAGAAGAGCAATAATAAGTTCCCAATGTGCAAAATGAGTATTCAATTATCTCTGTACATTGCTCTGTGTTAGCTATATAAGCATTTTCATGACCTTAAACAACCACAATGCCATAGCCATTACTTCCTAAGAAATTCTATCCACAACTTCTTCGCAGATTTCTATCGTCTTTCTCGAGGTCTGCGGCGCCATATCGTTGAAATCTTTTCTTGTTTATGAGAAAAAAAAGCAGTTTTCATTTGATTATATTTTACAACTGGCTGTTTTTTATTTGCCACGGTCACTGATTCTGCACTAGTAAAGTTAAGCTTCGATTGGGACAACTTTTTTACTGCTTCTTAAATCGACTACCTAGTATAAAAATTTAAATTTTTGTACTAAGAAGCTGTTTTAAGAAGCAGAAAGAAAGCCGTTCCAAACGAGGCCTTAGTAAGCTTATATACTGTATAACAAGATGGAAGAGATAGTCCTTAAATGAGAAAAAAAGATAAGAAAGCTGTGTTAAACCTGCAAATCAAACTTTCTGCACTTCTTTTTCTATCAATATACTTCAATGGGATCATAACCAATTTGCCAGGAACTTTATATTTGTTTATCTTCATTTCTGACAGATTGCTGAAAGTTACAATGAAGGAAATTGGTTTGGCTATATATTTTCTTTTTCTGCTCATTTCATTAACAAATGTGGATGCTAGGTTTTGGTCTGAATTCAAGCACAATAACAAAGGTAAGAATCTGAAAATAAGCAAATCCTTTATGGTTAGATTCAACCTATGTTCTTTGCTCTAAAAACTTAAAAAAAAAAAGCAGAAAAATCCTCAGCACATTTGAGTTTGTTTGAGGAGATTGGAATGCTTTCTCAAGAAGCCTGTCATATTCTGCCTTCTGAACTGAAGGCAAAGGTAAGCAAATTTAGAACTGATATCATTCTTCATGACTAGTTTTATTTATTTATGCTTTTGTTGCATTTTGTGATGGCAAATTAATGTGTTATTTCAGTGCTTGGAGACATCTGAGGCTTATGTGCAGAGAACAACAATGGCTCTGAAAGGACTACTCGATGAAGAAATCCTATGCAATCGCACTGGTCTGTGCTTCATGAAATCAGTAAGAAAGATACCAAGTGGAGATTTATTGATGAATGCTTACATCTTCATCTTCTTTGTTCTATTAGTTTATTTCTCATGTGAAGACAAAACATGCATATCTGGTTTTTCTTCTCAAATGTAGCTGAACATCAAAACATACTGAACCATACAAGTTCAATATAAGATGAATGAGTACATATATTGGTGAAAATGTACACCCTTAGATCAAATTTTCTTCACCATGGACTTCCAGATTTTTGCAGCCAGGCAAAATCCATCATATATATGCTCAGGCCTTCTCCAGTCGAACGTCAAATATGTCTATGGCGTCGTTCGGTCGCTCTAACCGAACGCCAAACCTTATGCTATTTGCTTGCGGGTGAATAGTGCGACGCCAATATTGACATCCCATTGTGCACCCGCTATATGTTTTTTTTTTATTTGAAAAATTGGTTATTAATTTTAAATTTTAATTATGAGAAAGAATATATTATGAATATTCTCTTTTTGGTGTTAGAAAATGGAGTTCGATGAAAGACAAGTTACTGCATATTGGAGTATTCCTGCATTTTGGACTCCATTGGAGATGCCCTCAGTCAAACTTTATTTGTTTCTTTCTTTTAAATTCGATGATCATCATAAAAAAAATTTGCTATCAACACCAACAAAAATTTTATGGAGGATTTACATACATACCACTTTATTTTATAGAATTTACATAACTAACATTCAAAACATTAATATTACAAGCCTACAATCCATAGAACAAATTTGAATGCATAGAATGAAATATTAAAATTTATAAGATGCTCTGAATGGTAGAAAAGAATTATAGGAATGGTACATTTGATATTAAAGTTTTATATAGGTGGTAATCATGTAATATTAATGTTTTGAATGTCAGATATATAAATAGCATGAAATAAAGTGGTATATATGTAAATTTTCCAAATATGAAAATATTAGCATGATGTGTAAATTTGAGGAAAATTAAAAGAGTGGACATACCTGAAAAAGAATTTGTTGAACATCACTGATGTGATCATAGTTGGTGTGGCTGAGCAGGTGTCAGATGAGCGAACCTGCACAACTTGCCGCCGGTCTATAAGGGATCTTTTCTATCAGCTCAAGCAATCAAAAATAAGGGTAAAGCTGATTAAAATGAAAAAAATTTCCCCTCTTTGCTTACCTTCAATTATTTTATTTTATGTTTCACAATGTCAGATGAGGGTAATGGATGCACTTCTGGAATATTGTGAAGAAATAGAAGACCAGGAAGAGCATGTAAGTATCAATATTTATTTATTCATTTGATATGTTGAATAAAAGCAGTTCTGGATACCTGGCGGTTCTCCCGTCCGGTTAAGTGCTGGGTACCGAGCTCGGTATCGAGCAATGGGGTGACGTGGCTCATTTTTATTGGTCTTTGGACGCCCTTCGAACTCCGCACAGAATAATAATTCGTAAACGAGTCCCGGCGAGCTCAAGTTATCTCTAACTTAATCTCAAGCTTGAGCTTTATTATGCTGGCTCACAAACCAGCTTGTTTATTATGAAATAGAGAAAATGATTATGATTCAAGTAATTTTTTTAATAAAATGGTAAATGAGTCGGCCTCGAGCTAACGAGTTGAGTCGGGGCTACCTCAAGTTTGACTTATTATCTCATCGAAGTCGACTCACGAACCATTTATCGAGTCCAGCTCAAGCCGGCTCAGAAATCAGCTTGACTTACTGATTTTATTATTATTTTTTTTTTAAAAAAAAATTTCCTTTTATTCTTACAGTGTAAGGAGACAGTGTACAAGTATGCTCCTCTGGTGCTCGGCCAACTGGAGAAACTGAAAACAAGTGATGTCTGCCGTATTATCGGCTTCTGTGATGAGGGGATATCCATTTGAAGCAGATATAGGGACCAAGAGATGGCTAATTATACAAAATAATATAAAATTTTCTTCTATTGAGTGTGTTCAATCTAAATAATGAGGAGAGTGTCTCAACTATTGAAAAGTCTCATAATATTATTGCTGATGTATTTTTGTAGCTCTATATTTATCAAGAAACAATAATGTAAATGCCTTTCTATACTGTTAAGACTGAAGATATTAGTCTGTTATAATGATTTCATTGGACTTGTTTTGGAAAATTTTGATTGGAATCACAATGACACTTAGTTTGTGTAAAGTTAGCAAAAGAAGCTTAAACAAGAATTGCTTAAAAGGAAACTAAATCAACTGTTTATAAACTAAACTCAAGATTGGGGTATCCAACAACAATATTAATATTCTGATTCTCATTTAAATTTAATAAAAAAACATTTTTAATACTTTATAACCAAGACTTTTTAGATTATCTTTATTAACGTAGGTCAGATTTAATGCATCTACTCTTCTAATAGGGTTATTGAAAGGCCTATCTTTAATATTTAGGATTCCGTTTAAAACAATTCTCTGTAATTTTATCTTCCATTGGCGCTACTTCAATCTTTTCATGTACATACTTGTTTTGCAATTTGACTCTAAGTGCAAAGCAACTCATCCACCTGAGCATTCCCATCTTTGCAAAACTTAATTTTATGCTTCTTTTTTAATGACCAACGTTTTGCACCATAATCTCATAAAAGTTTGAAAGGAATTTTTCTACCACACAACAGGCCTGATGCATTCATCCACACTTCAACCACCTAACTTGAATTCTTATAATAATATCCCCAACAATTCCACCTTTGCTTTGAGCAGCATACTCGAGATATCTAAATCGCGCATTCTGTTTAACAACATGATCACCCAATATCACAATCAAACAACTAGATCTATCACTATTAAAATTACACTCTATATATTCAATTTTAGATATACCAAACAAAAGCTTTTGGACTCTAAGATAAAAGATTTGGATATCCCAAGAAAATTATTTCTGTTGAAGAGAAACACAAATACAGGGACATATAAAGTGTTTTGAAAGATTGAAATCAAGTTCAAAATATATATATTTATACTTAAAAATAAAAAATCCTAATAATAATAAAATTTCCAAAGGAATTTTGATGTTTTTTGTTCCTCTAAAATTTTATTGGCAGTAAACTTCTAAAACATGTAGCCCATTTTCTGCCATATATCACAAATTTTGAATGATTTGAATTTGAAGTAGTTTACAAATCATTGACATTATAAAAAACAGCAAAACTAGTTCTTAAGTTCAATTGACAATTTGAAGTTCAAGTTTTCATTCATTGTTATTAGCTTCACTATGCAAAACTAAGCAATATTACCTCTACATAACTCAACTTTTTGACGTACTAAGAGCCAAAGCATAAATTTATGAATGTGATAGCACCTTGTCAACCATTGTTATTAGCTTCACTATGCAAAACTAAGCAATGTTACCTCTACATAACTCAAACTTTTTGACATACTAAGTGCCAAAGCATAAATTTATGAATATGATAGCACCTTGTCAACAAATTTCAAAGTACAAAAGATGATCAAATCTTTACAAATTTGATTTAAAGAACTTCACACTTCCCCATAAAAAAAAAAACCTAAATAAACAAATTTTGTTTCATAACTACAAGGGACATCTATATAATGCCGCAACTTTTGGCTTATAGACTCAGACTTCATTTGAGACGGCTTTCTTACTGCTTCTTAAAATAAAATTTTAATACAAAATTTTAATCTTTATATTAAAACTCTATTTTAAGAAGCAATAAAAATCCCGTTCCAAACGTGGCCTCAATCTTTATTTGATATGGCTTTCTTATTATTTTCTTTTTAATATAAAAATATTATGAAAGTTGGGAAAAACAATAGTCTAAAATTGTCCCAAATGAAGCCTCGAGATCTTAATGAAAGGGTAACAATCTTTTCTCCAAACATATAAAGAATCACACGTTACCCAATCGCTTGTGTTAACATACACAATCCAATGTTCAGACCCCCATACAAACCATTAAAAACATCACAAGCTTACAGCATTTTAAGCCTCGTAAATAAAACTAAATTGATTTCTCCTACAAAACGCCATTAACAACTGAATTGTTTGCTGCAGAGCCTTCAACACAGGCGTTCTCTTATTCTGCTCAGGGTGCAATGGCAAAACTCAAGTTAGAAATAACGAGCAGATTTATTAACCAAAATTTGTTCAGACCATCAAATAAAAGAATCGGATTCTGGTGCTGCTGGAACAAAAACCAGGAGCTTCTGAGACTCCCAGCAAAGAAACTTCTATGTATCCTTCATGTTCCTTCCTCTGTTCAACTCAAAGCCTGACATAGAAGAGAAAATAATGGAGCCAAGAGACCGGTTCGACGAACCAGAATTTGTTTAATGTGTCCTAGCAAAGTATTACCAAGATCACAGAAACATCAACATCTATGGAGAGGAGCAGGATACACATCTAGTGGTTGATAGTGTAAACGAGGATTCACTTGAAGTGGTTCCTCCTGTCAAAAGATGACAAACAATTCATGTAAGCTTGAACCTGATAAATTCATGCGTTAAAAAAAATCATTTAGATGAACAGAATATAGTCCACTTTGGTAAAGAAATAAATAGAAGATACCAAGAGCAGTAGATGTATTGTTAAACTGAACCAAAATGTAAGGCCTCGTTTGATGCGGCCTATTTTCTCCTTCTCCGTTTGGAAATGGTGTTTGTCGCTGTTTAAATATGCCGCTTATGTGCAAATGCTTTTTGCAGAACGTCATTTTTTTTACTGTTTTGAGAAGTTTCTTGATATATGTTTCTCCATTTGAGAACTTCATTTTCTCCACCAACATTTTTAAAACTATCTTTTATAAAAGTTAAGGGATAACCAAACGAAGCCTAAATGGATGGTTTGCCAATGAAAAGGTTAAGTAACAAAGAGTATAGTGATAGAGTTGCTCACGGTTAAATTGGTTCAAAACTCTTTGAAAAATGCATGGATCGCAAAATCAAACTAAGCATTCTGTTGGAAAACAGTGATACATAATCTATTAGTAACTCATGTGTTGATTTTTTTCATTAAACATTCGGTTAAACAAAAGCCTTATTGTAGATTTGTTGAAGGAAGTGGAGCCAATAATTTAAACATGTAGGACAGCATTTAGTTGTGATGCTGAATTAGATTAGGGAGGGCTATCTTTTTAGTAAGAAGATCAATTGGATTTGGGCCATTCGAGATGATCAAACTATAGAAGTTTGGAACTTTATCGTTCTTGCCATTAAAACTATGAAGTAAACGACCTCTTGGGTTCGTTTATTCAGACAAAGGAAAGCAGTCAGCGAATCTATCATATTTGGGTTTGTTTATTCAGATCATCATACCAGCTCGGGACTCAGACTTTGAGCCATGAGAAACTTACAATTTTTTAGGTTGACTGATTGAAGGCCATGCTGGACTAAGAGAAGATCTTTTGACATTTAGGAGGAAGCTATTTCATATGCATTCCATTTAAAGATTGATACTTAATCATGCAGGTCTTGCATAATAAGAAATATTAGGCATGATGTCAACCCAAATGAAAATCAAATTAGTAGGCATCTCTGTGTAGCATAATATCAACCTATACAAATGACTTCATAATGGGGATCTTAGCATGTAGTATGGTGTCAACACAAATGAATATCTATTTTCTAGGGATCTTGATGCATACTACGATACCAACTCATATATATATATATATATATATATATATA